TAGAGCACGTTGGTGTCGGGGCACCCTGAGACTGTGCGTGCTGCATTCCATGATCACGATGACTATGTCTCCGTGGGCACATCGAAAGCTCGAGCTTGGGCCGCTGTTGCAACCCGCGTTGGTCCACGCCCCGAGCCGATCGGTGGACCGGCTCTTACCATTCCACATCCGACTGGGGTGCATCGTCGACCCCCATCCGCTTCTCTCTCAACAATTTCAAGCACTCTTTGACTCTCTTTTCAAAGTCCTTTTCATCTTTCCCTCACGGTACTTGTTCGGTATCGGTCTCTCACCCGTATTCAGCCTTGGACGAAATTTATCGCCCAATTGGGGCTGTATTCCCAAACAACCCGACTCCCAGACAGTGCCTCGTGGTGTGACAGGGTCCGAGCATAACGGGGCTTTCACCCTTTCTGATGCCCTTTTCTAGGGGACTTGGGCCCGGTTCGTCGCTGAGGACGCTTTTCCAGACTATAATTCGGACGTCGGGGGCACCTGATTCTCAAGCTGGGCTCTTTTCAGTTTGATCGTCGTTACTAGGAGAATCCTGGTAAGTTTCTTTTCCTTCACTTATTGATATGCTTAAACTCAGTGGATGATCCTACCTGGGGTCATGAGGCGAGCATCGATCGAGTGATACGGGGGGTCCGAAGGGGTCCAGGTGGACAACGAGTGCGCGTCACCGGGGACAAGGCATGTTGGGAGCTCTACCACCGACGGTCACGGTGCTATCATTGCCGGGGACTCGCTTTTGGGCCAATCGTGACCCACGAGATCACGGGAGGCCATCTTTCGCCCACCCCCTTCCCTCAGAGCCCGAGGGGCAGAGGGTCGGAGGGGGGGCGACAGTGCATGACACCCAGGCAGGCGTGACCTCGACCTAATGGCTTGGTGCACAACTTGTGTTCAAAGACTCGATGGTTCATGAGATTCTGTAATTCACACCAAGTATCGCATTCGCTACGTTCTTCATCGATGTGAGAGCTGAGATATCTGTTGCCGAGAGTCATTTCATTTTTTCGTGACAAAAAGAGTCGCAGGGTTGGCCGTGCACGCACTACGGACGGGATGGCGATGGCACGCGCACTCCATTTTTGTTTCAGTTCCTTGGCACGATTCGTCAAGCTGGGCTCGGGCATGTGCTGGTGTCACATTTTTTTCACTCGGGGCACCATCTCCGGAGAGCCTAACGGACGGCATTGGGGTTCCGGCGATTAGGGGGCCGGGGGGTGTGTGCACATGATGTGTGATGGGTGCTGGTACTTGACCCTTATATTGGCCCCCTATCCCTCATCAAACCTCGAGAACTCACACCCCCTTAAAGAGCATTTGAGATTTTATAGGTTTGCTGCCAGTAGCCATTAAAGTGTCTGAAATGGGGACACTTTTTTCAAATGGTCACAAAATCTTCTCCACTTCGAGTTTTTAGCTGAATTTTTTTGTGCATTCTAAAAAAAAATACAAGGATCACCTCTACCAAATTTGGGGACAAAACTCTTTCTAAAAAAATTTTAAAAAATCTCGAACCGTAAAAAGTTTCAAAAATCGTGAAAAATAGAAAACGGGTCATCTTGCCACGAAACTTCACATGAAGGCTTAGGGGACCATTGTATGAATTTACAAGCCATAAAAATGGCATTGGCATGGCAGAAATATGAAGATGTGCTTGAACCTACCTACCATCCATTCGATCCCCGGCTTGTGCATCCTGCCTCTCTGGCCGGCTGAGTGCCTGCACGCTCGTTTTGTGGGTTGACTTAGGCCTACAGAGTTCATCCCCAGTCTAAGCATACGAAGTTCATTCTAGTCTAAGATCAGACCGGATAGAGGGTTACGACAGCAAGATCGACAGTACGTAGGGGGGATCGGATCGATCCTTGGCTTGTGCATTCTGCCTCTCCGGTCGGCTGAGCGCCCGTACGCCCATTTCATGGGTTGGCTTAGGCATAGGGAGTTCATTCCATGTCTAAGCCCCAGCTGGATCGAGGGTTGTGGCAATGGGGCCGGTAGCACATTCAGAGCACTGGGCAAAAATCACATTATGTGAGCATTCGCAGGGACCATCGCAATGCTTCATTTTAATTAAACAGTTAGATTCCCCTTGTCTGTACCAGTTCTAAGTCGACTGTTTGTCACCCAAGGAAGGCCCTCGAGGGAGCCATTCCCAGTCCGTGCCCCGATCGGCATGCGATGACCTATTCTCACCGCTGGAACAGCTCGAACAGTGCACCGGTAGCCAACGGGTTCAGGACTAGGACCCCCCTGCCTAGCCCTCAGAGCCAATCCTTTTCTCGAGGTTACGGATCCATTTTACCAACTTCCCTTACCTACATTGTTCCATCGACCAGAGGCTGTTTACCTTGGAGACCTGATGTGATTATGAGTACGATCGGGCATGGACGGCACTCATTCCTCTAGATTTTCAAGGGCCGTCGGGGGTGTATCGAACACCACGTGACATGTGGTACTCTTTCGATCGCTGGACCCTACCTCCGACTAAGTCGTTTCTAGGGTGGACGGGCCGTTAAATAGAAAAGATAACTCTTTTCGAGGCCCTCACCGACGTCTTCGGACTCCCTAATGTTGCCATCAGTCGTCATGTCCCGGTTCAAGAATTTTAACCCGATTCCCTTTTGAAGCTACACGGGACGCATTGTCAGACGGGCTTCCCCCATCTCTTAGCATCGACTAACCTATGTGCAAGTGCCGTTCACATGGAACCTTTCCCCTCTTCGACCTTCAATGTTCTCATTTAAATATTTGCTACTAACACCAAGATCTGCACCGACGGTCGTTTCGCTCGGGCTCATGCCTCAGGTTTTACGGTGACCGCCGTGCCCTCCTACTCATTGGGGCCTGGCCCTCGCCTCGATGACTGGGTATAGGTCATGTGCTTAAGGGCCATCTATTTTTGGGTCTAGTTGATTCGGCAGGTGAGTTGTTACACACTCCTTAACGAATTTTGACTTCCATGACCACCGTCCTACTGTCTTAATCGACCAACACCCTTTGCGGGTTCTGGGTTAGCGCGTAGTTGGGCACCATAACCTGGCTTCTAGTTCATCCCACATCACTAGTTTTGCATACCAAAAATGGCCCACTTGGAGCTCTCGATTTCGTGGCACGGCTCAATGAAGTAGTCGCACCGTCCTACCTATTTAAAGTTTGAGAATAGGTCGAGGGCGTTGCGCCCCCGATTCCTCTAATCATTGGCTTGACCCGATAGAACTCGACGGGGGCTCCAGCTATCTTGAAGGAAACTTCGGAGGGAACCAGCTACTAGATGGTGCAATTAGTCTTTCGCCCCTATACCCAAGTCAAATGAACGATTTGCACGTCAGTATCACTATGGGCCTCCACCAGAGTTTCCTCTGGCTTCGCCTCACTCAAGCATAGTTCACCATCTTTCGGGTCTCGACGAGCATGCTCGCACTCAAACCCTTCTCAGAAGATCAAGGTCGACCAACGGTACACCCGTGAGGGATCTCGCCATTCAGCTTCCTTGCGCTTATGGGTTTTCGGGCCCATTGACTTGTACGCATGTCAGACTCCTTAGTCCGTGTTTTAAGATGGGCCAGATGGGGAGCCTGCAGGCCAATGCCTTGGAAAATGCTGGTGTCGAGGCACGTCGAGACGGTGCGTGTTGTGTTCCATGATCACGGTGACAACGTCTCTGTGGGCACATCGAAAGCCCGGGCTTGGGCCACCATCGCGACTAGCGTCGGTTCACACCCTGAGCCGATCGAGGGACCGGCTCTCACCATTCCACATCTGATTGGGCGCATCGTCGGCCCCCAT